CCGTCGCCGTCCTCGTCGGCGCGGGCACCGGCCCGCTCCGCCTGCGCGGCGGCGGCGACGGCGACTACGACTCCGACCCGGGCGAGTCCGAGGAGGAGGACGCGCAGCTGCCGCCGCTGCCCGCCGCCGCCGCCGTCGCGCTCAAGTCCGTCGTCTGCTGCGACGTCCGGCCCATCGACGTCGGCGGCGGCGACGTGTTTTCGAACACGTTGCCCCGTTCCTTTCCTCTACTCGCCGCCGCCCTGCGCAAGCAGCAGCAGCGCGCCGGCGGCAAGCAGCAGCTGCGCGCCGGCGGGCCCTTCTTCCCTTCCGAGGCCCTCGGGTTGGTGATTGGATTTGTGGACGTGCGCGAGCTGGGAATTCTCAAGCAGGCGTCGCGCACGGTCCTCGCGCTCGTCCCCGTGCGGACCGCCGTGGGGTTCTGGGTGCGACGGACGACGTACTCCGACGAGCAGTCGTCGCCGGCGTCCTTCCAGTCCATCCTCCACCCCAAGTACCTCGCCCTGGACCCCCGCCGTCCGGAGCGCGCCTTCGTCGCCGACGTGACCGGCCTCTTCGTGCGCCGCGTGCTGCTGAACCCGGGCAACATCACGGTCGTCGAGGACGCCAAGGGCAAGGCGACTTCCCCGTGGACGACCGTGTCTTCCGCCCTCGGCAAGTCCGTCTACGCGCGCCTCTGCTACGAGCAGGTGCTGCTGCCGGTCGCGGAGCGGCACCCCTTGTTCGCGGCTGTGTGGAATTCAAATCTTCAACTCGAATTCAATGTGAGCGTACGCGACAGTTTCGACGCGAGCTCTTCGGCTGTGCTTCGAGAACTCGACGAGAGCAATCGATTCGTCCAAAAATCAGCCGAATCGACTTCGATTTGACCGAGCTGGAGAATTCTGAAGTTTGGTCAGGACCACCCAAACCAGTGGTTGAATTCCACACAGGTTCGCGGACCTCACGAAGAACCACTGCGCCTGTACGATCGCCACCGACCTCAGAGAATTCTCTACGAAGACATTGCTGAGCCTCGCGATCGCCAAGGAGCTGCGCGAGGCGCCGTCGTGCGTGCTCGACGAGGTCGCGTCCGCGCCCTCGGCCAAGGTCAAGGTCACCTACCGCGAGTCGCTCGCGGCCTACCAAGGTCTCTCGAAGAAGCTCGCGCTCTACTTCATGGACATCAAGAAAAAAGCTGGAACTGGAACTGGCGGGGTCATCGGCGGCAATGCAACGTCCCACACGACGGCCAAGGCCCGCAAGTTCATCCGCGTCAAGACCTTGGAGATCCAGCGCGAGCTCGACACGCTGACGGCGGGCTACTTCGCCGAGCTCCAGCGGGCCATCGCGTTCCTCCTCACGCGGGACGAGTTCCAGCCGCGCGACGCCGCCGAGCGCGAGCAGTTCGCGGTGGTCGAGTCCTACCTCGCGAACCCCCTAGCCGGGGCGAAAACCAAGGAAAAGAAAAGGACGAAGAAAGCCAACCACTCAGCGGCGATGCTCAAGCACTACTAGGAGACTGGCTATGATAAGATCTAACAGAGGAGCAGCTCGCCATCGCCCACGCGCGCCGCGTCGGCTCGCGCGTGCACCCCGCCAGGGCGCATGAACTGCGCCGTCGCGGACTGCGGCGAGCGCTAAATATGAAGAAAACCTCCCCTCTTTCGCGGCTCTTCGACGACGTATCGCGGCCGCGGGGGGCATTTCGGGACTGCAACATTGCAAGATGAAGCCGTCGAAAGCTCGTCTCTCCGCTCTCCGCCTCCACCGACGCGAAGTCCTCTAGTCGGCGCTTCGGCCGGCCGCGTCGCCGCCATGGAGTCGTCCTGGAACATGGAGAAGTCGCCCTACGACCTCCTGGGCGTCAGCGAGGACGCGACGGACGGGGAGATCAAGACGGCCTACCGGGACCTGGCGAAGCTGTTCCACCCCGACCGGAACCACGGCATGGCGTCGACGAAGGAGCGGGCGGACCACTTCGTGAAGATCAAGAAGGCCTACGACGTGCTCAGCGACCGGGGCGCGCGCCGACTCTACGACGGGTGCCTCGTCGCGCGGGAGAAGCTCGTGCGGAAGAACCTGTACAAGTACGCCGTGGCCAACTCGCCCGAGTTCCGCGACGTCGTCGACGACCAGTTCAAGGAGGCCGTGCTCGACCCCGAGGAGGACGTCGCCGGCGATTCCTTGGTGTTGTGCTGCGAGAGCTGCGGCGCGCCGTCGAAGTTCCGCTGCTCCATCTGCGACCGCCTCGTCTGCGCCTTCTGCACGCTGAAGCAGCACGCCTTCGACGGCATCCCGCCCCACTACCCGAGCCGCTACTCGCCGCGCTTCCGCCGCGAGATCGAGTCCGACGGCCGGCGCCAGCGCCTCCTCAAGAACACGACGGAGGACGGCCACCGGCCGTGGTGCAAGAAGGACTCGACCGTGTCCGTCGAGCGGCGCACCTTCAAGGCCCTCTCGAAGAAGGTCCAGGACGGCGAGGCGCCCGGCTCGTCGGCGGCCCACGCGAGGCTCGCGCACTGCTACGGCTGGTGCCAGTCGCCCGCCGCCGTGCACGTCGCCGTCAACATCCAGGGCGACATCGACAAGGTCGACGTCGAGGTGCGCGGCGCGCCCGCGGGGCTCTACATGAAGCAGCGCGACGGCAACTTCAAGCCCGTCATCGACCGGCCCTTCTTCGGGCCCGTCGAGGTCGCGCGCGACATGGAGTGCGTCACGTTCGGGTCGATGAACATCATCGTCGTCAAGGTCATCAAGTCCCACTACGGCGAGCGCTGGACGGCCTGCTTCAAGGGCGACACGTTATTGATGCGCGACGCGGGGGACCACGACATGCACGAGTGGACGCGCGACATGTCCCACGCGTGGAACGACCCGGACCCCGCGTACCTCGTCGACGTCTTCGTGCCCCGGACGGCGCTGCCGGAGCACCTCGAGGTGGACGTCACGGCCAAGTACGCCTCCGTGAAGATCGAGGGCTTCGGCGAGTGGCGGCGCCACTGGGCCTACCCGTGCCGGCCCGACGTGTCGTCGTGGTCCATCGTCGACCTCGACGGCCGCCGCCGCGTCCAGTTCACGGTCTACCTCAACGGCCTGCCCAAGGACGAGCAGAACCAGAAGAACCCGGACGTCATCGACCACAAGAAGGTCACGGGCATCTTCCTCGAGGACAAGGACGACCTCTTC